GAAGAACAAGAAGAAGAAGAACAGCAACAACAACAACAAAATGCAGACACATAGAAGAAGAACAAGAACGACAAAAGAAGATGATGAAGAAGAACAACAACAAGAAGAAAAAGAACAAGCAGAAGAAGAACCATGTCACTGTGTGTGTTTGTTTCCTAAATATCTACATCAAATATCTAAAACTCAGTTAATTTTACAGATCTTGAGCTACAATTTGATGTGGTGGTTGAGAGTCACTCATAACACACACTCTGAGTGCTAACAGATAGAGTGTGATATTATTTTTTTAATTTGACCAAAACCGCTACATTAGCTATGTTACATGCACAAAATTCTTTGATCGGATTGAAATGTTTTCGGATTAAATAATCCAAATGTATTGTTTACATGGGCACAATCCATTCACGATGCACTTTTACATGCAGCGGGGCTTTTATCCTGAACAGAAGTACTGACATGTGCAGAGTGGTAAACTCTCCTTAAAAAAAGCACAGAAGAAGTAGTTCTACTTCCGGGATGAACGCAAACAAACCTTAGCGCCCAAAATGGACCCGCGACAGGTTTTAATGACGGTGGAGACGTTACTGCACTCCCCGACTGAGCTACAAGTAATACAGATCATTTTGAGCTCTTTCAAAGTTTCTAGTAGAAATGTTGTCAATCACCGAGCAGTTTTACTTCCCTGACATATTAGCAATAGCCAGGCGGAGATACGTGACGTTGACAGGTCGCACATGGGCAGTCAGGTCAGTTTTCCACAATCGGAAAAAAAAATATCAGATTAAGTGTTTACATGCACACCATTTGGATTATGAATCGGCATAAACCACCCCTCTCATTGAGATTACAAATTCATTCGGATCAAGCTGAATCAGCTCAGAATAATCCGCATGACGCATTTTTATTCCAAATTGCCATTGCAGAAAATAAATAAGACTTCCCACTGATGAAAGCTAAACAGAAACTTTGTATTGTGAATATTAGTTATCTGCTCACATGTCAAACACAAAGCATACTGTTCTGAATCAGACACTTCTTATGTTTTGGTCAAAGTAACGGTGATGACTGCAGCAGTGGTGTGAGTCTGTGCGGCACCTTGCTGTCGTAGTCGGAGGTGTTGACGCAGGCTCGGAGGATGTGCAGCAGCGAGTCGATCAGACCCTCGCAGCAGCGCAGCTGACTCCTCGCCTCCTCCCCTGCTGAGCTCAGGTTCCTCAAACACAAACACACACATTCAGATGGAGGTGCAGTGAGCGGATTCCCCCACAGGGTGGCTCAAAAACCTGCCCAGATACAGTAAAAACAGGGGGAGCTCCTTCTCCAATAGGAGCCGAGAAGTCCCACAATGGATTTCTATACCATTAGCCTGCAGCTTTGACATCCGTGTGAGTGAAGGGAAATGCTCGAGGCTTTTGTGCATCTAATGTTGATGATGTTTTCCCCTCCATACAGTCTGATTCTCCTTCTGCTGTATAGTTATAGAATATCCTAATAAATTCATTGACTCTGTCTAATGAGCAGCTTTTCCACCATTAATCCAAATGTTAAAGCACCCAGATAATTATAAAAAAAAAAAAAAACATGAATTCAAGGCTTCAGGTCTGAGACACTCAGTTTTATAGAATACTTCACCTCGGCAAAAAATTAAAAACAACAATCTGACAGATTTACCCTCAATAATGTCTGATCATGAGCCAAAGCGCAATAGCAATGAGTCACTGAGGGACTTAAAGAGTGAATGTAGTTTTCAAGATGAGTGTTTTTCTGGAATGGAATTGAAAAGGGAATAAAAAAATAATAAATTACCCTTTATTTATACAGGTAGTCTCATTGAGCCACGAGAACTCATTTTCAAGAGAGACCTGTTTAGGGAGCAGATGGGGGTTAGGAACCTTGCTCATGGGCCCAGGGTGGGGCGAATGAGGGTGGGGGCAAGTGTGGGTGCTTCACCTACCCCGCCTACATTTTTGATGTTGTCAGTACCGGGGCGTGAACTGGCGATCTTCCGATCGCAGGCCCACCTTCTCTAACCTCTGCGCCACCACTCCCCCCAAGAATGCGAGTAAACATTAATGTTTTTGGTGGAAGATATTCAAGTGGGGACGAGTTGTAGAAAACAGATGTTGTTTATTTTTCTTTTTGCTTCTTTGAGGCAGCGCGAAGTGGAGGGAGCAGTTTTATCCACCAGCAGGTGCAAAGGCAGAGCCAACAGGTGGCCAATGGTGGCCTTGACCACCATAGATTACTGTAATTTTAGGACTATAAGACGCTACTTTTTTCCCACAGGCTTTGAAAACTGCGGCTTATACAATGCTGCGGCTAATTGTTTGTTTGTTTGTTTTGATGTGCTAATGAGCTTCATGCCACCAAAACATTTAGCGTTGACACCATCAGGTGCTCACATAGCTGCCCAATACACGTCTCTCTTGGGGCTGGGTCCTCGTGACTCAGTGAAACTATCTGTATGAATAAAGGTTTACAAAAATTGGTAACACTTTACAACAAGGTACACAGAATTTGATTAACTATTAGGGAACGCCTCAGGAACGAATCAGGAACAAATCAGGAGGTAATAGGTAGTTAACCAGTACTTACTGGGCAACACACTGCCCAGCCTTATTGGGAACTACTGGTTAGTTACCTGTGAAATGAAGAAGAACTAATCAGGAACTAATGGGTAGTTAACATGGAAACCAAAGAGAAATGAATCAGGAGCTGATGAGTAGTTAACCAGTATTTACTGGGGAACACAGAGCCAAGCCTTATTAAGGGACTACTTGTTACTTACCTTGTAAATGAAGAGGAACTAATCAAGAACAAATGGGTAGTTGTTTGTCTAAAGAGGAACGAATCAGGAGCTGAAGGGTAATAAAATCAGTAATGACTAGGAAACAGGTTTATGACAACTATGGGCTGTGACCTCACTGGTGCAGGGTTTATTCAGAACCATCATGGAGAATTTCTCCTCTGTTTCTGTGGTAACAAACCAGTAGTCCCCTAATAAGGCTTGGTTGTGTGTTCCTCAGTAAGTACTGGTTAACTACCCACTAGCTCTTGATTAGTTCCTCTTTATTTACAAGGTAACTAACCAGTAGTCCCCCAATAAGGCTTGGCCACGTGTTCCCCAGTAAGTACTGGTTAACTACACATTAGTTCTTGATTAGTTCCTCTTCATTTACAAGGTAACTAACCACTAGCCCCCCAATAAGGCTTGGCTGTGTGCTCCCCAGTAAGTACTGGTTAACTACCCATTAACTCCTGATTTCTTCCTTAGGCGTTCCCTAGTAGTTAAGCAAATTTTGTGTGTTTTATTGTAAAGTGCTACCAAAAATCTGACCAATGATATTATCGAACAGATCAAAGTGGACCAATGACACAGGAAGAGGAGGGTAATAAAACGGGAAGGGGAGGAGTGAACAACAAAGTTTATGCAGCCACTCGAAATAAGTGTGAATCATGCATTTAAAATGGCACCCCGAGCTTGGTGGGATGCAGGCAGGCTGATGTGTGATGAAGGATAGCACAAGCTTGAGCAGGAGAAAGATGAAGATAGTAACCAATCACTTCCTGGTAGGCTACTGTAAATACAGTACAATTCGTTTTTAACCAGCCATGTCACAGGCACTGTTCAGAAAAAAACATTTACTGTACGTATTTGTGTGTTGCCAGTACATATTTAATTAAAAGATTTTTTAAATCATTCTGTGTAAATATCTCATGTTACAACGTGGACACCTGTGGCTTATAGACAAGCCCAGCCTATATATGTGCAAAATTATTATAAATTTTTTATTTAGTGGGCGTGGCTTATATTTGGGTGCACTCAATAGTCCGAAAATTACGGTAATCTTCACCAACTCCAATCATTAGAGGAAACTATGCTTTTAAGCAAACAAGAAAGCATGAAAGCAAGAAAGCAACCTTAAATGATCTGGGTAGTCGATTTACTATCTATCTATCTATAACTATATACACTGTATATGGCGGTGGCCATCTTGGATTGTGACATGGCAACCCAATTTGTAATAGGACACTCGCTTATGCTTGCCACACACTAACTAGGAATTTGTCCCATTGCCTATTTTTGTAAAATGGAAGTTGGTATCTCACTTATTTTTTAACTTATTGCACTCACAATATTAACGAAAGGACGGACAGACAGCATTTCCAATTCCTTTCCAATTCTTCCTTTTTGGACAGATTTGGAGCAGCACTACAAAATTGGCAAAGCATCTTAAAGACTGATGGAAATTTAAAAAAAAAAGGTCAGTAAAACTCCCAGATCAAAACAGCAAATATATTAAACCATTTAGAGGATGTACAACCCTGGTCCTTGGGGAGCACTATCCTGCATGTTTTAGTTGTTTCCCTGCTCCAACACACCTGATTCAGTGATTTAATTACTTCCTGAAGTTCTACAGAAGCTTGATGACCATCCATTCATTCACCTCTGGTGTGTCATAGCAGGGAAACTACAACATGCAGGATGGTGTTCCTCAAGGACCACATTTAGGAGCCACTGCATTTATGTAACTTTGATAGCCATACTGTACCTACTCTAATACAGAAGCTAATGGCTTTGGCCAATAAAAAATGCTGTCAGTGTTTAGAAGTAAAGTATTCATTTTAGTATGATTAAATTAATTTAACTTCATTTTATCTACAGGACTTATGACTTGCCTTCTGCTTGCTGGTCTTGACGATATTGCCTTAGTGTAAGACCAACCAAAGATCCATCACACTGTGTGCAAATCAGCAGGCTTTAAGAACCCTGAGGGGTTAAACAGTTGGATTTGGGGCTCACCTCAGGCAGCCGGTGGTGTTGCGCAGCAGCAAAGAGGACTGGAACTTGACCTTGTGCTCATCGTGTTGAGACACGCTGCTCCAGCCTGAGTGGGGGATCACGACTGTGTTGGTCAGAGTGGACAGAGCGTCACGGATGATGGTCATCTTCACTGCATCACACGAGGACAGGTTCCACAGAACGCCTGGTAGTTCAGAGAGCAAAAGAAGTTCACAGCACAAAGTGGGGTTTCAACTACATCTTTGAGTTTTGTGTCACTTTGTTCGACAATTATTTTCTCTGTCCACCGGTTAGGGAGGTGGAAGTGGCATCATCCATAACCAGAATGTGGTCCTAAATATCCTCGGTTTTGTGGCTCAATTCATTTTTCTCCTCTATAATTGAACAAAGTAGCTCATTTCATTATAAAACACTCTGTAAATACGCACAAACGTTACTGGAAATTCAACCTTCTAATGATGAATGAAAATATGAGCTTCACTGAGACAGGAAACCCTGCAGCCACATAAAGCAGCAGCTCCACAATCATCAAAACCCTGTGTAGGGTTTTAAAAATAGAAGCTTTTTGAAGCATCTCATCACGAGGACTCTCCTCCGTGCTCTGAGAGTCTGGGAGCTTCATAGCCGCCGGTGTTGTAGAATACGCGTGGTGCGGCGGCGGAACTGTCGGCTCCATCCTGTTTCCAAAGCACAATATCTGAGCATCTGTCCTGACGACTGTGCTGAGATCCGCTCTGTCAACAGTGTGCACTGAGTGTTTAAGCCTCTGCCATTCTCACCTCCCACAGAACAGCCGACATACACAGATTAATACGCTGCCAGCCAGCCAGTCAGACGGCAGCTGAAGCACTGCCAGAACGCTGGCCAGCTGGCCAACAGACCTCGCTAGAAGCCGAACGCCCACACGCAACACAGTGGGATTTACCATGTCACGTTTGTCATTTGGAGACAGACTCTTGTCATTTTTATGCTTTTTCCCAGCAGAATGCATGCTGAAATAAAAAATGACAGATCTGAGACTACAAATGTCCATCTTAATTGTGTGTCATCAGCATAACAATGACAATTTATCCCATGCCGTCTAATAACATTACCTAATGGAAGCATACACAAGGTAAAGAGTAATGGTCCAAGCACTGAACCCTGAGGAACTCCATGACTAACTTTGGCGTATGAAGAACATTTGTTATTTACATAATAATACATAATAATAAATAAATAATACATTTACAAATCAGATAAATATGATTTAAACCGATTTAGAGCCGTTTCTGTAATCCCATTATCACATTCAAGCCTATGTAGTAGAATATTATGATCAACTGTATCAAATGCAGCACTGAGGTTTAACAATGCCCTAAAAGTGGTGATTAATTTGCTGCAAAACTAAACTTAGGTTGTCCTAATGTATGCTCAATAATCCACGTAGAAAAATCTAGCAAAGTTAAGTCAGATCTTCTGGACGAATTAAAAAAAAAAAAAATAGTTGAAACTTTTCGTCTTTTATCCAAAAGACTTTGTCAGTCTGAGGAGCTGCACTAAACTCAGTCTTATAAATAGCCCCTTCTGATAGTGGATCAACCAGTTTGTCGGTGACATCCAGAACTAGCTGTTCACATGATCAAGGAGGACCGTCAGCCTAATGACCGATTGTTAGCACCCTGATGGCTGCTTGCTATGCACAGAGGGCTGAGTGATACTAGTAATAACAGCATTGTAATAGGGGGACAATTGGACATGGATAAATTTAAGTTGGATAATTATTTGTATATAACATACCCAAACTGTCAGGGCATAAAAAATTTAATTGCATAAATGTAGCTGGACCCAGCAGACATACCCGTGACCAGCTCTCGGACTTCGTTGTCGGTTGTTTTCCTGAGGAGGCGCAACAGGGCAGGCACGCCGCCGCAGTTCCTCAGAGCCACCTTGTTGCTGTCGGTGGCCTTGCCATAAACCAGGTTCCTCAGGGCTCCGCAGGCGCTCTTCTGAACCTCGGACACCTTATGGTCCAGCAGGTCCACCAGGTGCTGGATCCCTCCCAAGTGACACACCTTCACGTAAAAAAAAAAAATCCAGGTCAGTAGTTTCCCCAACTTTTTCGGTCCAGACCCACAAGATAACAGCAAAAGACACTTGAAACCCCACTGCAGATTTTACGTGTACGAATGCAGCTAAGAAAGAAAGATTAAGCAAGCATACAGTGACAGATGAGACAAACTAAATATATGTTAGAATATTTACACCCATTTATGACTTCTTTTTCCATTTTATAACAGTCATGTAAAACATACCATTAGCAATTACTTTCATCTTTCATCACTGATAATTTAGTTCCTTAAATAAATTTTAAAAATCTGCAGCTAAAATCCTATCTTGAAACCCAGTGTCGATGTATAAAAGCCAGGCATCACACTGTATTATTAACAGAAACCCTTATTCTACTAGAAGATCATCCCTATGGCATAAAAAACTAGAGAAAGTGGGTAGAAAAACTATATTAGAAATCATGGATTAAAGCAGGAATTATTTTTATCGGAGATGTGTATGAGGGGGACAGTTTTATGGCTTTTTCACAAATGATAACTGAAAACAGAATCCCTCAACAAGACTTTCGGAAATGCGTACAATTAAGAAGCTGTATATTGTCTGCACAACGAAAACTGCCCCTGATATCTCAGACAGCGTTACAAAAACTAGTACAGAGCAATCAAGGCGCGAGGGGTGGGGTATCTAAATTTTACAGTCTTATGAGACAAGCCAAAACATGAGGGTCTCAGGAGGGCATGGGAGGAGGATCTGCAGGTTGGGATAACTATGGAAAAGTGGAAGGAATTAAATGGATCCTGGTATAAGACATCTAGAGAAATGCAGACCCATTTAATTACATATAAAAGCATATATAGGCTTTATTGGACTCCTTGTAAAATGGTTGTGCTGGAGATGTGAGAAGAATAGGAGAACATTTTTACACATGTTGTATGAATGTGAAAAGATACTAAATCTATGGGAAAATGCACAGGTTGGCCCTCATCACTGGGTGTAGGATTGCCCTAAGGCGCTCGAAAACTCAAAGTATTATACATTTCAACTAATGGTTTGGAGAATCAGAATAAGTTTTGTTTTATGTATTTATTCATGTATTTTCATCTTTTTTGTTGTTGTGCTGCAGCCATTGTTCACGTTCAGGCATGTCACTTGTACATTTAAGAAAAAGATCAAAACTGAATTGTTAAAAAAGTATATATGAAGTAGCTTAGTGTGTGTTTTGTATTAGAATTAGAAAAATTAGAAAGAGTTATTCATTTTGTTCTGTTACTTGAAAATTATTATGAGTGAAATAATTGTTTGAAAAAAGGGGCAGATATAATAAGATTTTTTTCTTCTTTCTGCTGCCTTTCATTTTAAATCTTTTGTTATCTTTTTTTATATTGTTATGGAATTGTTTTGTACTTTTTTAAAATGAATAAACTTTATACCATACCATACCATGTCGGTTGTTTGGCTGTTTTGTTAAAAAGCAATAAAGGGTACATCACAAAAATAACTTAAAAAAAAAAAAGCAGCTAAAAATCAAACTAAAGGACACAAATGAATTTGCTTGGATATTCTGGACACATGTAGAAGCAGAAGACGCTAAATAAACATGTCTCAGGGAAGCAGGAGCCTCTTTCTCCTCTTCTGTGTTCGAACTCCGGCTAAACAAGCAGTCCAATTAAAAGCTCCTCACTGGACAAACTTAACGGCACTGAAATGCCTCTCGCGTGTGAAGCCACTGTGTTGGCGTTAGCTGCGGCAGTGGAAGCAGAAAACAGACCGTTTCATCGCCGAAATGTTTGGCAGCAGCTCAGTTAAAGTTGTTTTTTGGAGCAGATGGTGCTTTGGCTCAGATCTCTGAGTAGACTCAGAGCAGCGATGCTTAAAGAAAGAAAAACTAAAAGCTACTCCAAAATGAATCTTAACTCTGCTGTTTCACATTAATGTCTCTGAACGGTTCGACATGTCCACCATCTCTTTCCACCTGGCTCGTGAGTCGTGACATGTTGTCCTGGTATTTTTGTCTCGGCGTGTCAGCATCACTTTACCTCCACCTTGACCCTGTTGTCTCCAAAGCACAGGTGCTGCAGGTAGGCCGCAGCGTTGCCCTGGACGGACGGGAAGTGATGCTGTAGCATGTGGATAACCTCTGGCAGCTCGGGGTCGCGCCACGCAAACTCCCTGAGGAGAAACGCAGAGGAAGGTGTCAGTCAATATTTAGAAACACTTTGGATTTAGTGTTTTACAGATTTATGACAGTTTTAAAGTAACTATAACAAAATGTAACAACATCTGTCCTTGATTCTAAAGAACAGTACAAAAAAAAATAGTAGGGAATTATTAAATGTCAGACTGTGTTGACGGAAACGTCAATTTGGAGGGAAAGCTATTAGCTGGATGGATGTTAGCATCTAAAATCACTTCTGCTGTGGGAAAATAACACATTCTTTCATGCTACAATGAAAATGTTTCTTCCACTTTGCGTACAAAAGACACCGAGTGATCTATTAGTTCTCATACATGTTGAGAATAACTCATCTACTACCACATAAAACTCCTCTCTTGCTCTCGACGAAGACGGATGCTCTCTTTCCCTCTCCTTCCTCCCCTCCTTCTATTGATCTTTTGCTCTTTGTTTTTGTGAACCTTTTTCAGAGCCCCTTTTTGCATACCTTCCAAATTGTAAACTATGGATTTGTTCAGCTGGTCTCTCAATGCAACTGATCAAATTTTCTCACAAGAAGCCCTCTTATCTCGGAAACATAATTGGATTTATGATAACTGGATTCTGCTTTTTGGATTTGGTGGAAATGTGGATTGTCGACAAATTCGGAAACGTCAGCAGCTGTTTAAGCTGCCTGGAACGTGTGTACCGGGCTTGGCAACACTCAGACTGTGTGCGAACTATCTGTGGACCTGTATCAGAGCCGAGCAGGCAGGACCGCAAAACTTTGTGGCAGTGTTCACGGACAGTTGGAAGGAATAGATCTTATAGAGAAGTTGGAAGCCCAACTTTGGTGTAAGTAATCATAATTCAGCTTTTTGTTGTCGCCATGGGATGAACTAGTGAGACTGTAAAAGGCAAACGCGGAAATTAAAGAGCTCGGCCTGACCCAAAACAGTGTTGAAATCTGACACTGGCTGACTATCTCAACTTCTCCTTGGATGTTATGATCCCCCTACTACAACCCCCACCCCTGAAAACATCTGTAGACTCATCAGAGTGGACTGGCAGAGAGACACTGTAACATCAGGACTATAGAAACTATCTAGAAGTGTTCATGGGCAATCTCACCATCTTGTCATCCTCACCCCCCTGCAAAATGTATTATGTCTCTCTATGTTGCTTGCTGAGGTAGACTTTTTTTGCTACCTTACACTGTGCCCTGTGCCTCATGGTGTGAGATCTTTTTTTTATACCTTGTCTCCTCATGTTTTCTTCCCCTTTTCTTGTCTAAGCGGTAAGGGCAGCGCTCATAGGGAGCCACAGCCCTGATACACTTCCGTCTATCCTTCAGACGGCTGTATGGAATGAAATTTCGCTGTACTTAATGTTTGATTCTGATTCAAATCAAGACTTATCTCAAAATCTGTTAAAACACAGTGAGTTATAGTCATTTTTTTGTGTTTGTTAAGGTCATTAAACTGTGGGAACTATCTCAAATGAGGTTGATCCCAAAGGTTAATCAGTTGTAGATGCATCCAATGATTATCTTGAGAACAAAAAGGGTTAAATCATGTCATCTGGACCAGTTCCTTTAAGTGAGAAGGCGGATTATTTTGAGAGTTTCAGGTAACAGACAGACAAAATAACCCCCCCCCCCCACACACACACATACACACACACACACACACACACACACATGCTTTTCATGGCAGCAGGCAACAACTACAAATTGACAGCTGTTATAAAACCACTGGTGAATGTACTGGCTTTTACCTTGTTACACTAAAGTAATGTTAGACATTTTTTACTTCCATAATAATCTAAATCCAAGTAGTTTGGAAAATTAGGACAATACATAAAATAAGAAAATTAACGTAACATTGAATCAGTGAAAATACAAAATGATCTGGACGAATAGTGACATAATCTGTCCTTTTTGTTTTCTTTGTGTTCACCTGGTCTTTATTTCCTTTCCTGATCCTTGTTTTTGACTCTGTTCCTAGTGTGTGTCTCCCTCTTGTGGTCTGTCCCAGCTGTTGCTCCCTCATGTAATTAGCTTCTGCCACTACCTGTTGTCTCTCCCAGCTGTTTGTCATTTGTCTGTGTGTATATAAGTCTGCATCTCCGGTTCCTTGTTATCTGGGCATTGTCTCATGAAGACTCCTTGTTCCTGTTCTGCACCACCTCCAGGTTTTGTCTCCCTTAGTTTCTTCGCATGGTTCATGGAAGTTGGTGCTGCCACGTCAGCCCTTTTGTTTATTTTCATTAAATAACTTTTTACTTTAAACCTGAGTCCTCCCAGCATTTCGGGTTCAAACCACCACCAGATCTTTCCAAAACAGTTCTTGTGTTCAGTCATTCAACACATACTCTCTCACTGTTATAAAGTGCTTCAAACTGGTTCCAACAAAAAGCAGTCCAAATATTTTTAACTTGTAAAAACATAACATTAAAGCTCTACTGTATTAATGGAACATCTGTCTTTACACAGCTGGTCGCAGATAAACACGCGGCTGAAGTTAATTTGAGTTCTGAGTCACACGTAGAACATCAGAGTGCTGCAGCAGATGGTGGTGGACCCCAGACAGAAAACACCTAAAACCTTTCAAGTTCTTCAACATGTTTCGAACAACACTCCAGCCATCGGTACCTCGGGTCCTTATGGATGCTCTCGATGGATGGAGTGCGGGTGATGACTCGGTCAACGAGCGCTGAGTGTCTGTGGGAGTAGACGGGCTCGGTGGACACCCTGATGGAGTCGGCGAATGCAGCTGCAGAGCTCACCCCAAAGCTGCTTCTTTGGTACGGCAGCGTGCCGCAATGGCTTGTGGTCCGAGGAAGAGTCCCCATACCTGACGATACAATAGATGTGCGAGTTTCGTTTGGTTTCATTGAGCGTGTATAATGAACACTAGGATCTAAACAGATTCAAAGAGAACATAATGAATTATTTAAGGTTGTAAAACAGGTTTTGAACAATTTTGAAGGCAAAACAAAGTGTGAGAGCTGACAGGTAAAACCAATATACAGTAAATTATGGTCAAAACACATTTTAGATGACTTCTCAGATGCTTGGCTAAGTAGAGATGCAAAATCTATCTTTTAAGATGATTTTAAGGACATGGAAGAGTTCAGGTGCCCAGGTTCTCCAGCTTCTATAGTCTACATTTGACATCATTCAGTCAGACTTGATCCATCTCAAACTGGTGCTAAATGCTGATAAAACCAAAGGGATGTTGTTTTCAAACAGAACGTTGGTGCCAGCAGTTCTTCCTCCTATCTCATCCATGCATGGTGTTCCTATTGAGTTTGTGGATTCTTACAAATACCTGGAAATGTTAATTGATGTGCATTTCTCTATTAAGCCACATATTAAAAATCTGTTAAATAAAATGAAACTAAAACTGGGTTTATTTTTAATTAAAAGATCTTGTTTAACTCTGAATGTCAGAAAACACCTAATAACTGCTACCTTCCCACCAGCTATCAATTATTGGGACATTATTTACATGAATGCCCTGCCAGCTGCTTGCAGATGTTGGATGCTGTCTACCATGGTGTGCTAAGATTCTCAACTGGTTGAAACTACTGTACCCATAAAAGTCCATGCTCAATAATCCAGGTACATAATTCGATAATTTTCAGTCAGGTCATCTAGACAGTTTCTTTATTTTGCTGAAACGTTTTCACTTTGGAGTAAGCTGTTTGAGAATCTTCACCAGCATTTTGGGGAAAGAATCAGTTTTGTGCTGTGCGTTTCCTTGACTGATGAAGCCTTCTGGATGGAAGGGGAAATGTTTCAGAAAAAAAAAAAAAAACTGTCCAGATGACTTGACTGAAAATTATTGGATTATATACCTGGATTATTGAGCATGGACTTTTTTGGTTTTGAACCAGTTTGACATGACTGTCGATGAGGAAGTGGGCTGGCACCAGAGGAGGGGGCGTGCCAAAGACACCATCTTAGCACCAACATAACTGGTTTGTTCCACTTTGGAGTAAGCTGTTTGGGGGAAGAATCAATTTTGTGTTGTGTGTTTCCTTGACTGATGAAGGCTTCTGGATGGAAGGGGAAATGTTTCAGCCAAAAAAAGAAACTGTCCAGATGATCTGACTGAAAATTGTTGTACCGTACCCATCACTGCACTCTGTACTCCTTGGTCAGATGGTCACCATTATCTACACGTAGACTCTCACACTGATTCATCTTCTTCTATAAATCCCTCCTTGGTCTGCTGCCTTCTTATATCTCCTCCTACATGTCACACCGTCAGTGCAGTTACAGCGTGCGCTTTCAGGACATCATTACCTGCAGCGTTCCCTCAGTGCGGACTGAACTTGGCAAAAAGGCCTTTTCCTACTCAGCTTCTGCAACCTGGAACACCTTGCAACAGGAACTGTAGTTGTCCATCTTAATTTTTTAAAGGATTTTAAACATCTGATTAGGTCATTAGAAGCATCTAATAAAAAAAAAAAACGATCTCGTTTTGAGTATTTTGACTCGTTTTATATGGCACCTTGATTTTATTGGTTTTATAATAATAAATAAATAAAATGTTATGTGTTGTCATAATTGTATGTTCCCATAAAAAAGGCGAAATTGGTTCTCTGCATTTACCGGTTACCCATCGCACCTGGGATTCACGCAGGTGGAGCAGTGGGCAGCTATGTAAGCGCTTTTATACACTATGTTTTATTTTAATTGCTTTTTATTGTTGTTGTTGTACTCTATATGCTGTCTGTCTAAAACAAGTCTCTTTTGAAAATGAGTCCTAGCGACTCAATGAAACTACCTTTATAAATAAAGGTTAAATAAATAAATAAGAATGACCGCAAGCAATGAGAACAGTTCCTGAGCTTGTATGCTACATATTTTGTGAAAGTGTTAGAAAAAATCCTTTAAAAAATATTCTTATGCAGAACAGGCTTGATGATGACTCATTGAATTTTAAGAAGAATGTGTGTTTCTGGGCAGCACGGTGGCGCAACTGGTAGAGCTGCTGCCTCTCAGCGTGAAGGTCCCTGGTTCAAATCCCAGTCCGGGGCCCTTTCTGGGTGGAGTTTGCATGTTCTCTCTGTGCATGTATGGGTTTCCTCCGAGTACTCCGATTTCCTCCCACAGACCAAAAACATGCATGTTAGGCTGATTGGTAACTCTAAAGTGTCCTAAGGTGTGAATGAGTGAGTGAGTGAATGGTTGTTTGTCTCGTTTGTCTCGTTTGTCTCTATGTGGCCCTGTGATGGACTTGCGACCCGTCCAGGGTGTACCCCGCCCGCCCCTCGCACTGTTATTGGTGGACATGGGCACCGGTGACCCCCGCAACCCAATATGGAAGAAGCGGGTAAAAGTTAATGGATGGATAGATATGTGTTTCTAGCAAACCACATGTTGACCTTTGGAGTAGTCATGTTGAGGTTCAGTACCTGTGTTTGTCCTGTAGAGGGAGCCCTGGGGGTCTTGGGTGGGGCTGTGGAACAGGGGGCTTTGGAAAGAGTGTTCATCGAAAACGGGCGTCATGTGGCAGTCTGGAGACAAGGCCGCCCTCAGCTCTGGATCTATCTGCACTCCATGACCGGCATATGAGCTGTGAAGTCCTGCAGGGAAGAAAACAGCACCTGAAGACATTTTATTTATACAACAAAACATTGCTTTTGAAAAAAGGCAAATACATTCTGGCTGCACGGTGGAACAACAAGAAGGTCTGGGGTTTGAAACTCAGCCACAGGTTCTCTCCAGGTACTCCAGTTCAAACAAGATCAAATCATTGCATGGCGATGAGAGAATGAAGGGCAAAACAAGAAACCATCAAAATTCAGGGGATTACTTGTGTTTGATAATTGAAAAACAGGTAGTGTGCTCAACTTGAATTCAGATCTACATCTTATCTGGCTCATTTCAAGACGTTGTGCAAAAAAAATCTACATGCAATATAGACAACAGTGCATGTTGTGCTGCAGGACTCTGGTTACTCGCAGCCTTGATTTTATCGACATCAGGAAGTCAAACCAACATGGAAACCTTCCTCCTCACAGTGTATCGGCTCCAAAAATGCTCCAATTATAAAGTGGCTTGAAGGCACCAGGGAGGGGGGTGGTGGGGTTGGGAGCCTTGGTAGATCAGTTTCGTAATTCAAGCAAAAGATTTGAACATAAACTTGCTGCTAGTCTTCTTTAATTGGTTTGATTTTTCAGATTGAGAATAATAATTTGAGTTTGGAACAAACGTTGGACCTTATTGACTCTTACTGGCCCTTTGGTGACACAAGCCAAATCAGTAATGTTCAACTTGGAGGAAAGTTTGCTAAATACTTCAACATGCCAAAAGGAACAAGGATCAAGGCTAAGAAAGTGGGGGTTTAATCATATCTGCAAAGCTGACGTTATGTCATTCAACCTTTATTTATACAGGTTAGTCCCATTGAGCATCGGGGACTCATTTACAAGAGAGACCTTCACGTCATTAACTGAGTGAAAGAGGGCACAGTTGCAGTATCCCCATGAGAACCAACTCTCTTCTGCTGTTTGCTCATGCACTTCAGGCCAATAAACATGTAATTAATTTAGCAGAGTACAGGAAGTTCTCATCTTTACAAAGCAGGGTAGATTATTTTCTATTTCTTGCATGAAAAGTGGCCATAAATCTCTTTTAAATCGCCTCAAAATTGACTGAAATGGCTTCAATGTAAAGTGTAAAAGCTGTCAGGTGTAGATATGAAACCACACGCACACGCATCAAATGTCTGTGAATTGATAAGGGAACTTCCATGCTCATGGAGAAGAAAACTGTGATGAATCAGCATATTAGTTTAGAACAAATCAAGTGAGATGATCCCCAAGGTAATTACATAAACCTATTTGTAATTGTGGAACAATGGCAGCTTTATCTCATATGAAAGAATTGGGAGGGAGACTGTTTTCAGAGATCACACTGACCTGATGGCACACAAAGATTATTTATTGTATTTATTTAAATTTTTAAACCGGAAAAGATTAAAAGAAATCGGGCCTGGCTCAGCATTTTTGCTGTTTTACAGCAGGTTCCTGTTCTGCAGAACATAAATAACACACAGCTATCCAGCATCACATCACATTAATAGACACACATACATACTACATTACAAAAACACAAGAATGGCAGCATTAATATGGCAGACACCTAACGGTGATTGCAAAAGAAGGTGTCCAACAGATGATGCGCATGAGTCTTCTTAAAAAGTGGGAATGTTGAGATGGACTTTGAGGAATATCATTCCATGCTTTAGAATAAACATAGAAAAATGATCTCTGGCCATAACAGTTTTTAAAGGCTAGTAGTGGCGAGTGTCCGCTTGTAGCAGCTCTAGTCGAGCGACCATGTCCATTATTGGTTTTAGGCATTAAAGTAGAAAGAGCTACATTACTGACACCATGAAAAACCTGAAAATATAATTTAATACTGCTGTGTAGAACATAATTTTGAAAAGTTAGAGCATTTGAAGAAGAAAGGGCTGTACAGTGATGAGTCCAGCCGGGAAGTTTGTTATGAATTTTGTAAGCCCTATTGTAGAGCCTAGCTGTGGGTTTCAGGGTTTCATTAGTAGTAAGAGACCAGACCGGTAAACAGTATGACATAGTTGAAAGTATTATGACACGAAGATAAAGTGTTTGAAACAGAAAATGTCAAATTTGATCTAATTTTGGAGTAAACATACATTTTTTTGTTTCAGCTTGGTACATAAAGATTGCACAAGGTCATGCATGATAAGTTAAATGAGAGTCCAAGATAATTCCCAGATATTTATAAGTAGTGACAATAGAAAGGGGTTTGTTTAAAAAAGTAAGAGGATTTGATATATTGAAAGGTCTTCTAGGTGAGGAAAAATACATACATACAGTTTTTTGTTTTTTTTACATTATTCGTCAAGCGATTTTCTTGTAGCCAGAAATAGATTCGATATTTGAGCCAGATAAGAAAAGAACAGTATCATCAGCATACATTAAAATATTGGAGTGATTAAATATTTTGGGAAGGTCATTTATGTATAATTAAAAAAAGCATTGCACCCAGTATACTACCCTGTGGGACTCCCATAGAGCAGGGTAGTGACTGGGATGTACAATTTCCATGTTTCACGACCTGGCACCTATCAGTTAAATAGGAACAAAACATTTGAATTGCAGAAAATGAAAGTCGAAAACAAGTCAGTTTTTGTAAGAGAGTATTATGATCGACTGTATTGAATGCTTTACAGAAATCAATATATACAGTGCCAGTTACTTGACCTTTATTCAGAGCAGCACATATTTGTTCAGTGAACAATATTAATGTTGACATGGTTGATCCTGAAGCACGAAAACCATGTTGGTTATCACTTAACATATTATTAACCTAAGATGCCTGATCTTATTTAGAGTTCCTGGGCCACACTTTTGGAACTGCGCTGAACTGGCCCCATCAATATAAAGGGAAGCTAAAAGGTGCTAGTTTTGGTCCTCACCATGATGGAGTTCCTTGCATCTGGAGCCTTTCGGTGGAAGCTGCCTTACAGGTAGGGTATCTCCCAGTTGTCCCTGAGCTGTGCCATGCCAGCCGTATGAGACAACCTCATATGTATGATGCCCAAATATTTCAAATCCTTCCATACTGCAGCTAAAACCTTCTGTTAATGTGTAGCAAGTTGAGTATTTAATAAATTATCCTCTCAGTTCTGCCAAGCTGAGTCCCTCTATGTTTACAGTAATTATGCTATTAAATACTTGTCCTATTGGACCTTACATCTGCTTTCGACACCATTGACCATGGGATCCTCATTTCTAGGCTAGAGCAGTGGGTGGACATCACAGGGTCAGCACTCAACTGGTTTAGGTCCTACCTCTCTGACAGAACCTTTTGTGTCAGTATCAAAGATTTCAGTTCAGATTCAGCAGCACTTCAGTGGGGGGTAGCGCAGGGGTCCATCCTCGTCCCCTTCTCTTTTCTTTATACCTGCTGCCACTAGGTATTATTTTCCGCAATCACAGCATACAATTTAATTTCTACGCCAATGACTGTCAAATTTACTTCCCCCTGAGGCACAGAGGCACACGCTCTATTCAACCTCTTCTTGACTGCCTGGCTGACATCCGGGACTGGACGGCTTTAAACTTCTTAAGTTTCAACGAGAAGTCTGAAGTCATCTTGTTCCATCCCGATGGCATGTCCATGAACCACTGCATTGACCTTTCCTCTCTAGCTCCGTTAGAGAAACAAAGAGTCACCAATTTGGGAGTGACCCTTCCTTAAAACTTAACAGTCATATAAACATGATTGTTAAATCCTGTTTTTTTTTTCAGCTGAGGCAGCTGTCTAAGCTGAAGTCCATATTGTCCAAAAAGAATCTTGAGACAGTGATCTATGCGTTCATAACATCCAGGCTCGATTACTGCAATGCGTTTGGCATCAATCACGTCTACAACTGGTCCAAAATGCTGCAGCCCGATTTTTAACCGGTACAGGTCATAGAGAGCACATTACTCCAGTTTTGGCCTCCCTGCACTGGCTACCCATTCACCTTCGGATCCAGTTCAAAATACTCATGTATGTTTTAAAATCACTGAACAGTTCTACCCCATCCTATCTTACTGATCTTCTACAGCCATATTTCCCACCGTGCTCTCTGGGGTCAGCAGACCAGAGGCTCCTTTCAGTTCCAGAAACCGTTGCAAGCTCAGAGGTGACAGGGTTTTCTCTGTTGCAGGTGCAAGGCTGTGGAATGAGTTGCCACTGTGTGTCAGGCAGGCTCCCACACTCACAGTCTTTTAAGTCTCGCCTGAAAACCCACTTTCATTTCCTTGCCTTTGACACGGTGCGATTTGTTTTGATCCTGTCTGTAGTCTACAGTGTTGGCCACTTAGTTATTATCCACTGCTATTTGTATCTATATATTTATTTTATGTTTTCCTGTCTGCTGTGCTTGTTTGTTTCTATCGTACAGCACTTTTAGTTGGCCTTGTTGCTGTTTTAAGTGCTTTAAGGGGGACGTTTTTTTTTCTACACACAACGTCCCAGTGGCTTTTAAACCCCAAAATACATTATGGCAAAGACTGGTTCATCCCAAAGATCCAGTCCCCCGACACAAACAGAGTAATATGCTGTTCAGTGTCAGGAGGGCTGTGCTCAGTCTTAAATCAGGGAAACTAAACAGCCACTGGCCAAAAGGATGGCCCAGCACAGAAGAGCAACATCATCAAGCCAGGACTCTGCGGTCTACACTCATCTCCAGGCCAGCGGTCACTCTTTCAGGGATGAAGATGTTCACATCCTGGATAGAGAGGAATGATGGTTTGAGAGAGGAGTAAAGGAGGCCATCTTTGTGAAAAGAAACCGTCCATCATTAAACAGGGGTGGAGGCCTCCGTGTTCAACTGTCCCCCTCTTACAATGCTGTTATTGCTAGTATCACTCAACCCCCTGTGAATAGCAAACAGCCATCAGTGTGCTAATGATCCATCATTAGACTGATGGTCCTCCTTGATCATGTGAGCAGGTTTTGGTTGGCAGCAGCAAACTGGTTGATCCACTCTGAGAAGGTGCCATTTATAAGACTGAGCTGAATACAACACCTCAGACTGAAGAAG